ATTTTGTCCACAGTTTTAAAAAAATATTTTTGACTATTATTATTTTATTTTTACATAACCACAATTTTTCCCAGTGTCCCTTTCCCTGCCCCCTCTCAGAAAGACATATCATACAAAAAAAATAATAAAGAAAAGAAAAAGAAGAGAAAAAAATCAGCAAAATTGGTCAATGCATAGTAAAAGTCTGAAAACAAATGAAATATTCCACATCTACAGACCTCCCATCTCTGTATAGGAGTGGGGTGGAGGTGTCTTTTCACATCTCTTCTTTGAGGTCATGCTTTTTGTTCACAACATTTTGTAACTCTTAGTAACACTCACTTTTGATTTTTTTTCATGGTGGTTGCTGTTTCCATTTAAATTGTTGTTGTCATTGTATATATTGTTTTCTTAGATCTGCTAACTTCAGGCTGTATCTGATTCTGTAAGACTTTCTCCATACTTTTCTGCATTCATCATACTTGTCATTTCTTAGAGCACAGTACTAATGTACCACCATTTGTTTAGCCATTCCTCAAAGGAAGAGCATCTACTTTGTTTCCAGTTCTTTGCTACTACAAAAAATGCTGCTATAAATACTTCAGTACATACGGCAACTCCTCCTTTATCAATGATTTCCTTAGGCTATATACCCAGCAGTGGAATCTCTAGGTCAAAGGGCATCAACATTTTAGCAACTTTACTTGAATAACTACAAATTGCCTTTGAGGGTAATTATTGTACTGATTCATAGTTCCAGAACAATTCACTAGGGTACCTCTCTTCCCACAATCCCTCCATTATTGATGATTTCCATCTTTTGTCATCTTTGCTTATTTGCTTGCTGTGAGTAGAAACCTCTGTTCGTATTCTTAATGAGTACATGTTCATATTCCTGTGTACCAGCAGTAGTTCTTTGGGCATTAATCAAAGGCTTCAGGTTCATAAGAGAAAAAACAAATGAGCATAAGATAATGGATTTAAGGCTAGAAGGGATGTTAGAGGTCATCAGATCCAACACCATCGTTTTGTTGGTGAAGAAACTGAGGCACGCACATGTTAAATGACTTATCCATAAGTTACATGGCCAGTAAGTGTCTGAGGGGGATTTGAAATCAAATCCTTAGCTATCCAGGAAATGAGACTTTAATCAGCAAAATTTGCTGCAGAGATTTTTTCCCTTCCAATTTTAACTTCATTGTTTTTTTTTCTGTGAAAAATCTTTTTTAATTTTATGTAATCAAAAGTGTCTATTTTATATTTTACAATCTTCTCCATTCATTTTTTTGTTTATGGACTCTTCCCCTATCCGTAGATCTGAAAGGTAATTTCTTCCTTGATCTTGTAATTTATTTGTGATATGACATTTTATATCTAAGTTATGTATCCCTTTGGAGCTTATCTTGCCATGTGGTGTGAGGGGTTGGTCTATAAGTAATTTCTACCAAATTGCTTTCCAATTTTCATCAAAAAGTGAGTTCTTATCCCAGTAGCAGGGGTCTTTGGCTAATTCCATATGTTATGTTACTAATATGTTCCAACTTATTGACCTCTCTTTATTTATTTTATTTTTAGGCAATTGGAGTTAAGTGACTTGCGCAGGGTCACACAGCTAGTAAGTGTCAAGTGTTTGGTCTGAGGCCAGATTTGAACTCAGGTGCTCCTGACTTCAGGGCCGGTGCTCTATCCAATGCACCACCTAGCTGCCCCGACCTCTCTTTTTTTTTTTAAACCAGTACTAAGTCATTTTGGTTGTTACTGCTCTGTAGATTGAGTTCTGGTACTGCTAAGGCTCCCTTTCTTTCTACTTTTTTCATTATTTCCCTTGAGATTCTTTACCTTTTGTTTCTCCAGATGAGTTTTGTCATTTTTTTCTAGCTCTGTAAAGTAGTATCTTGGCAGTTTAATTGGTATAGCATTGAACAAGTGAACTAATTTAGATAGAGTTGACATTTTAATTATGTTGGCTACCCCCAGGCAATTATATTTCTCCAATTATTTGAAGTATGTCTTTATTTCTGTAAAGACTATCTTATGGTTGTATTCATATAATTCCTGTGTGTCTTGGTAAGTAGATTCCCAAGTATTTTATGTATTCCATAGCTATTTTAAATGGAATTTCTCTGGCTATCTATACCTGCTGGGTTTTATTGGTAACATACAGAAATGCTGATGATTTATATATCACATTCCATTTACACTGTGGCACTTGGTGATGAAGTGGGAAGAACACTTGGCCTGCAGTCAGAATGACCTGAGTTCAAACCTGACTAGCTATGTGTCCTTAGGCAAGTCACTTAACCTATGTTTCCCATGGTTTCCTCAACTCTAAAATGGGGGTAATAATAACACCTACCTCCTAAAATTTTTGTGAGGATCAAATGAGATAATATTTATAAAGTGCTTAGCATAATGCCTAGGCACATAATAAGCACTATATAAATGTTTATTTCCTTCTCTTCCCTTTCGTCTGTTTAGAGGTCTATAGAGTTTTCTATTGATAGACACTCAAAGCTCCAGTCCAAGGTGAACAAATCCCAGGTGCCTTCAAATCATCCAAATATGAATGTGGAAAATAATTCTAAACTCTGGTTGATAGAGTTCCTTTGAAGGCAAGACCTGAACTTGTGAATATTCATCAACCTTTCTACCTCTTTATCTCCATGCCTCTTCTCCTCCTCTGAGTAAAAGCCTCAATCTAACTAAACTGTATCAACCACAAAACAAAGGAAATTACTTTTTATAAAGGCACATATTTTTAATGCCTTACTCTTCACGGCAGGTAATTATTTATTTTGTGATAAAATCAAGTCACATTTTATAGTGAAAATTCAGATCTCCAGTTGAAAGGAAACCACGGGCAACCCAACTTTCAAACGTGAAGTAGTTTGGACATGATTTTCAATTGCTCTTCACGGGGTACAAATGCCTCCTCCTGGCTCTGAATAAAGGTGAGAAGTCCTGAAAGCTTTTCCAGGTCCTCCAAAAATTACAAAAGCATGTTTTTCAACTACTGTGGCTCTTTCTGGGCACCCTTCCTAGGCAACTGGGGCTTAACTCTGTTGTGGACGATCAGATACATGGTTCTTAGGCCAAATCTGTTCTCCTTTTAATTTGTTTGATACACTGCGCCCCAGCTCCAGAGCAGTACAGGACTTAACCACAGATCTTCATGTGTACACCAGAGTCAAAACAGACACGCCGGTTAAGGTCTTGACTCCCTTCCCCGGAACATTAGCAGGCCAGGCCTCACAAGACCAACACAGACCACTGTAGACAGGCCACTGCAAGCTTGATGGAGACTTATCGAGCTGTTTTCCTCTGGCATTTTCTTATACATCTGTCTTCTGAGCCACGGTCTGGTCTGACAAGATTATGCAGGTGCTGACTGCGGCACAGACCCATCCAAACCACTTCCCCTGGCTCACCTCAGGGACGGAATCTTTTGCTAATAATGATTGTGCAGTTTCATAATGCCCTATATTAAATAGCACCATAGTTCATGCTCAAAGATTCTGCCTCATTTAACATTATTTAAACTTTGTGCTTATTTTATTAACATAGATAAAATATATGGAACTTGCTATTTCTTACATATTTCTGTTTGTTTGTTTGTTTGAAACAAGAACTTCTGGGCTAAAATGAAAGTACTACATTTACTAACCGAGGTAGGGATTTAGAGATTGGGTACGGTGAATTTCATTAAAAATGGCAAAATTAGGAAAAAACAAGAAACTTTAGCAATTGGTATTCCCTAATCAAGTTGATGCCCATTCAATTGAAACAGAGGCATACATAAGGATCTATTGACTTAGGAAACCACACATTTATCTACTTCTTTTTTAAAATAATACATCAATACATTAAAGTCTGTTAGGAACTACATTTTCATTTAGTTTGGGCCTCACTCCAAAGAGTTACGGGCTACTTGGGGGACATAATCTTGACACTTCTATAGTACTCCATGCTGCCTCTAATCAGAAGAACTGGGTTCAAATCCTGGCTGTGTTCATTATTACCTAGAACATCTTTGCCATAACCTATGGCACCCTAATGTAAGTATAATACAAAGTGGCAGCTAAGCAGTATAATGTATAGTCATTAGACTATTATTAGACTATATATTAGACTTGCTAGACTTGGACTCAGGAAGACTTGAGCTCAAATCCCACCTCAGACATTTACAAGCTGTGTGACCCTGGGCAAATCTTTTAGCTTCTCTGAGCTACAATTTCCTCATCTGTAAAATGGGGTGAATAATAGCACCTTTTTTTTTTGCACAGAACCAAATGGGATAATATATAAGGCATTTTGCATATTTTAAAGATAAAATAACTCTTTATCTAAATACATTAGCTATTTTTATTATGAGCATTATTCTCAAAGCTGAATTTATAAATTTATCTTGATATACTGTCAGAGTGGCTAGTCCTAGCACTTCATTTGTGTAAGTGTCCCTGTGGTTTGTAGGAGAAAAATGAAGAAGTTGGAAGTGTTTGCTATGTCCCTAGCAACCCGAGGGGCAGCTAGGGGGCATAGTGGATAGAGTGCCAAGCCTGGAGTCAGGAAGACTTATTTTCCTGAGTTCAAATCTGGCCTCAGACACTTACCAGCTGTGTGACCCTGGGCAAGTCACTTAACCCTGTTTGCCTCAGTTTCCTCATCTGTAAAATGAGCAGGAGAAAGAAAAGACAAACCACTCCTGTATCTATACCAAGGGGAAAAAAAACAAAATGAGATCACAAAGAGTCAGACACAATTGAAATGACTGAACAACAAATAACAACGAAGTGGCTTGAACTTGGATGCTCTTGGGAGGGAGAGTTGCAGCAGTCTGGGCGATTGCACTCAGTGGGGAGTATGAGCGCTCACCTTGAGCCAAAGGAGAGAGTATTTATTAATAGCTCCATGCCTACTTCAGCGTACAGAAGAGCCTCAAGAGAGCGAGGCATGTGATGATACTTCTTGACATCCCCTAGGTTTGCTTTCTTCAGTAATCCTCTGAGAAGTTCCCTGAACAAATGGCAGAGCTCAGCTGTTGCCACTGTAGAGGTCGTGCTGCGGCGGTATGTGTGGAACCCTTGGGGCCCTGGAAGAGAGTACCCCTGAAGGCTGGAGGTTTAATGGAGAGACTTTGGGGATGGAGGAAGGCTTACTCAGAAGAGTGGGAATGTAGAGGTCCCACTGAGGCACATGCCAGTAGCTTAGAGTTGCTGTTAGCATTCAAGGGGCTTCAGCTAATAGTGATCCAATGCAATAAACATGTATTAAGTATAGACAGTGCGACAGATATAAAGATAAACAGAGAAATCCCCTGACACTCTGGTTCACGCCTAGACTAACTCTTATAATAGCTTCCTAATTGGTCTTTCTAACATTGGTCTATTCCTTCTCTAATTCACCTTCTTTCCCTTTGTAATGAACCCCTTGATAGGTGGTTGGGCTAAGGAAAAGTCTTATTTGATGAGGTCACATCGAGGTACCCTAAGACAGAAAGGTCAGCATTAGCCCTCATTGAACCTTGGGGGAAGAAAATGGATTTTTTTTAAAAAAATAAAACTTCTACTAAAGATATTAAACTGCAACTACCTACTAGATGAGTTGTTTCAGAAACTCAGATAGGGAAGACAGAGATGGAGATTCCATATGTTAATTTAGGTCTTTGATTTCTAGTGGGGACTGTGAACTAGAGAAACAGGGTTACATTTGAAATGCTAATCTTAGATAATTCATGAAGTGGGGAACATTTTGCACAATTATTTTGAGCCTCATTTTTATAGAATTTTGAGTTCTTTGCTGGCTTTGCTCCCTATTTCATCAATTCTACATGAGAGGATTCCCACTTCTTTCAACAGCAGAGCAAGGGTACCAGAAGAGAGACAGTTGGTGGCACATTGGATAGTGTGCTGGGGCCTGAAACCAGGAAGAACTGAGTACAGATCTGATTCTTGACACATTACTAGCTGTGTGACCCTGGGCAAGTCACTTAACCTCTGTTTGCCTCAGTTTCCTCATCTGTAAAATGAGGACAGTAGTAGCTACATCCCAGGGTTGTTGTGAGGATGAAGTGAGATAATATTTGTAAAAAGCACTTAGCACAGTACCTGCCACATAGTAAGTGCTAAATAAAATGCTTATTCACCTATTTGAAGCCTGGACAAATGCCTAGCCACTGGCAACCCGGACAAAGTGAGATGCTCTTGACTATCTAGGGAAAGGCAGCTAGGGTGGCACAGGGTAGCTAGGTGGTACAGTGTATAAAGTGTCAGACCTCGAGTCAGGAAGATTCATATCCCTGAGTTCAAATCTGGCCTCAGACATTTACTAGCTGTGTGACTCTGGGCAAGTCACTTAACCCTGTTTGCCTCAGTTTCCTCATTTGTAAAATAAGCTGGAGAAGGAAATGGCAACCCATTCTAGAATCTTTGCCAAGAAAACTCCCAAAATGGGTTCACAAAGAATTAGACATGACTGAAAGGACTGAACAACAACAACAACAAATCCGGGGAAGGAGACCTTGGTTCCTGGTGACTGAGAGTGAAATGAAGCAGTTTTGTCAGTGTCCCTGCTGAGCCGAGGCATGGGCAGGTGGGGCTGACTGATGCCTCACTGAGGCTGAGGATGCTTCCAGTCTGCTGGCCCTGGTGCCTCTTCCCTATCAATGGGGCCATCTGTTAGTATCGTCTGCTGCGAAGGAGGCAGAGGTGAGAAGGTTTTTAGGCCTGAACATAAAATATCCCTCTATAAAAATAGAAAGCACATCTTCCACAACTGTGGCTAGGGGAGGAAGGATATCACAAAAGAAAGTAGGTTGTTTTGACTACCACAGGTGCTGCTATGAATATTTTGCTGTCTATTAGACCTTTCCGTCTTTGACCTCCTTGGGCTATCTGCCCAGTAATGTGATCATTGGGTCCAAAGTCATGAACAATTTTGTCATTTTCCTCTTATAATTACATCGCTTCTCAGAACAGTTGTATCAATTGATTTCCCTGTAGTATATTAGTATGCCTACCTTTCCATAGCTCCATCAACACTGACTGCTTCCTTCCTTCCTTTCTTTTTTTTTTTTTTAATAAAATTGCCGTGATGGTTGGGTCTTAAGAAAGGAACGATGCCCTTTGGTAGCTTGGTAGATAGAAAGGGGTGCTTTTTGCAAAATGACCTGGAACTTAAACATAGGCCAGTGTTGGATATAATTTTCATGTTTACCTCCTTCATCTATTAGGCATAAAAATGGAAATAATCTTATGTTTCCAGGCACCAGGGTAGTATTTGCCAGATTTGGTTTAAAGCAGGGGTTCTTTTTTTTTTAAATAAGTCCTTATTGATGTTACTTCTTTTTTTTAAACATTACTAAAATTTCCTCTAGTATCTGTCCTTCTCCACCTTCCCAACCCAGAAAACAATCCCATAAAACAATGATGTTTTTGAAGACAAAAAAAGGAGAGAAAAAATAAGCAAAATTGATCAAAACATAGAAAAAGTCTGAAATGAGGTGTAATATACCGTGCACATTGACCTCCCTCCTCTGCAAAGGGATGGGGACAGCATTGTCTTCTCTCATAGCTCTTTTTTCCAAGTCACGTTTGTTCTTTGTAATTTTGCTACATTCACTTTTGATTGTGTGTGTGAGTGTGTCTGTGTGTGTGTATGGTTATTCTTTCCACTTACATTATTGTAACCATTTTTTTCTTGGCTCTGCCATTGAAAAAACATATTTTGATAGCTATATTTCTGTATAATTGGTTTCTTTCATAATTTTATTTATTTTTACACATTTTTCAACATTATTCTGAGAAAGGATCCCTAGGCTTCCCCAGTCTGATGAAAGGATCCATGACACAAAAATTAAGAAGCTCTGATAGAAAAGATGGAAAAGCCTGAGTAGGCTCTAAACTGATAAGATTTCCTCAAAAAATTCCAGAATAATTCAGTTCTTAGTTTATCTTGTCCTTCTTTCTTCTCTTCCTTCTACCTTATTTCCAGTTCTGAGTGTTTTTTTTTATTTAAAGAAAATCACTTTTAAAAAAAAGTTTTAGCCCATTACATTGTCATCTGCATCTGCATCTGCTGACTGACCATATGGAAACTTACCTAGAGATAGGATGGTCACATTTTTCCTGCGGACATGATTTGCTGTACAAAGGACATTCCTTATATAGAAGATAATAGAATTGACTGAAGCCAGCAAATATTCTAAAATGACCTTGACATGCACTTCGTTCCTTAGCTATTATTTCAATTAACTACTCAATTGTTTGTTGGTACTCTTGACATTCCAAATGATTACCAAGTTTGCATTTTAATTAATGTTTTATGGAGTGTAACATTCTATTTCCTACGTATATAATATTATCAGAGAGGAGGGTAATTAAGCCTCATTAATCTGACACTGGCTGATTCAGTAGCAGTACTCATTGTTCCCTCTCTGACTGGCTTTGCTATTGTTCTTTAGTACAACTATTGGGCAAGGCTGAACACAGATAATTCAAAATCCAATTTTTCTAGGTTCTTCTTGATCAAAACTACAAGATTTTATTGTACTAAATTAGGAAGTTATCCAACCCAGAAAAGGGAAAATTGCAAACATTCAAAGATGCTCCTATATATGTTATATAATGTAATCACTATTCATGGGGTGAGAACAAAAGTACTAAACTCTCAATTACAATAGATGTCTTTGGAGCAACTTCCTTTTGAACAGCCTGAATACAGCAAAGGAAGGGTGAGACTAAGCTGATAGTTAGGAGGAAGGTGAGCGGACAAAACTGCTTACCTTTCTGTACTCGGGGAAATGTGGCTTCTTCCAAATGGAGGGGAGAATCTAGCAGACTATTGTCATAGCGGTTATGAGTTCATTCAATTCAGCAGATATTCATTAACCAATTCATGTGTGCAGAGCACTGTACAATGTACAACATTTCAATAAGACATGGTCCTTGCCCTCATGAAGCTTACAGTTTAGACTACAGTCTATATAATTAATATGTACAGAAAAAAATTGTTCTAACTTAAATAGGACTTGAAAGTTTACAAGGCACTTCATGTAAAGCATCTCATCATATCTCAAATAGACGTAATAATAGCACCTACCTTCCAGGGTTGCTGTGAGGATCAAATGTGATATTATTTGTAAAGCACTTAGCACAGTACCTGGCACATAGTAGGTGCTATATAAATGTTAGGTATTATTATTATTATTATTCATTTAACACTCACAATGACCCTCTGAAGTAGGGTGCTGTTATTATCCTCTTTTTTTTTTAGGCAATTGGGGTTAAGTGACTTGCCCAGGGTCACACAGCTAGTAAATGTTAAGTGTTTGGTCTGAGGTCAGATTTGAATTCAGGTCCTCCTGACTTCAAGGCCAGTTCCCTATCCACTGTGCCACCTAGCTGAACCTATTATCCTCATTTTGCAAGCGAGGAAATGGAAGCCCAGAGAGATTAGGTGACTTGTTTAGGGTGACATAGCTAGATAATATCTGAGGCAGGATATGAACCCACATCTTCCTGCCTAAAAATCCCATCCTCTATCTATATTACCTCTGAGAAGTAAATATAATAAATGATACATTCTTAAGAGAGGTTTAAGCATGGGGCAGTTAGGTGGCACAGTGGATAGAACTCCAGCCTTGGAGTCAGGAGGACCTGAGTTCAAATTCATCCTCAGACACTTAACACTTACCAGCTGTGAGACCCTGGGTAAATCACTTAACCCCATTGCCTAGCCAAAAAAAAAAAAAAAAAAAAAAGGGAGAGAGAGAGAGGTTTAAGCAAAGTGCTTAGTGGGGTTTGAGGAGGAAAAGGTCATTTACTGTCTGTCCCTTGTAGAGATCAGGGTAGGTTTAATGGAACTGTTATTTGAGTTAGGCTCCAATTACACTGAAACTTTATTAGTAGTAACATTTCTACAGGGTGTCCCAAAAGTTTTAGTGCAGTTTTAAGTTCTTTTTATTTTATTCATTTATTTTTTGGGGCAAGGCATTTGAGGTTAGTTTTAGTTAGATTTGAACTCAGGTCCTCTTGACTCCCAGAGCTGGATCCACTGTGCTACCTGGCTACCCCTTAGGTTTAGGTTCTGATAAAGTTCTAGTAATATGAGAGCTTTAAGGTCTAAAAGTTTAAGACTGCACTAAGATTTTTGGGACACCCTGTATAG